GCCAGGTGGCATCATTGATGGTGTCAAGTGTGGCAGCGGTGGTGGGGTTGGCCCAGGATCAGACATTGTCTCGTTCTGCTGTGCATGGGGTCGCTATGAGTCGGTTCCGACTCAATGGCACCTGACAACAACAACAATGGGTCGGAATGGACTCCACAACACTTAACAACAATAACAAAGTTTTATAATCTATATTCTTCTCTAACTCAAAGACTCCTCTTTTCCTCTTTCCTTTGAGTAAAAACTGGGTATGTAAGATTTTCCTCTAATGTAAATTCCAACATTGAAAATATAAAGATTAATAAGATACACACAGGTCTCAAGGACCTCACTCATATTAGAGCAAGTAAAAAAAAATACTGGTACAAAATCATAGAAACCTTTATTAAACAGGTGTACCAAAATGTGAAGCTTTTGTTTTTCAACATATCCTCCATCTAAGTCTATAAATTCTATAGGTAGTGTTTTCATCTTTAACTTTTCCCTCAAGAATTCAGTACTTTTCTATTTATACCATGTCAAAATGGAAGTTTTGGTATCCTCAAGGGATTCAAATCATGTTCCTTTTAAATGTTCTTTTATTTGGGGAACAAAAAGTCTGAAGGGGCAAGATCAGGGATGGGGTAAGGTTTCCCAACAAAAGTTTTGTACAACAACTCTTGCTAACCTCAAATACTGAACAAGGCTGTTACTGTGATATTAAAAAAAATATTTAAAAAATTCCTGTGTGCAACTTTCCTGGCCTTTTTCTAATCAGTGCAGTTTCCCATCTTGAAATGTATTCCTAATAAGCCCTTGTGATTGTCCTCTGTTCTTCAAGAAAATCTATTAAAATTGCCCTTTTGGAGTCCTCTGAAGTAGTTACCATAACCTTCTGTGCTAATCTCTCTGCCTTGAATTTAACTGGTCTAGCAGATTCAATCAGAAGCCACTATTTTGATTGGACTTTGTTCTCTGGATTGAATTGGTAAATGCAAGACTTTTACCCAGTTATGATTTGTTCATTAAGATTGACTTCATAGAACAAGCAAGATGGCAGATCAGGTAGAAGTGCAGTGAGGAGCTCTGTCAGCAACAACACAAAATACCGAACCAAACAG